GAGCTAAGATTATAATGACCGAACCTTTTGTGCCAACGCCAAGTATCGCTCAAACGGCGTTAACCGACGAAAAGAGGAAGGCACATGATGGTTTGTGCCTTACAAGGCATATGACGGCTTGTGCCTTACATTAAAAAAAAAAGGCGGCTGACATTTTGCGCCATACAGGCACTGTCAGACCCCTTTTTCATCTAATTATTTCTCATTCTTTAGTTGTTTTAAGATTTCTTTTCATTCTTTACTTATTTTAACATTCTTTTTAATTATAGTTATAGTTATTTTAACATTCTTTCCTTTTTCATTCTTTTAATTTACACCTTGTTCGGATGGTTGTACTGTATTGTTAGTCTAAATACAATGTAATGTTTGTTTTGATTGTTATTTAAATTATATTGTATTTTAAAAACTTTGTTGTGTTTGTTTTTAACATTCTTTCCAATTTATTTTTACCGCGCCTTAACTTTTTCATACTTATAATTTATACTAGTTACGATAGCCCGTGTTGTGCACGGATCCAATAACATAAAATTTTATAGTAATTGGTTATACTTTTTATAATATCTAAAATAATATTTAAATTTGAATGTGCTATTATTTTAAAGTCAATTAGAAAACAAACTATAAGTTGTTTTTCAAATTTGAAACATAACTTTAAATTAAATTTAGAATGTTCGCAGTCAAATACTAAGTTAACCGTTTGGCTATAAAATACATTTCATTAATTAGATGAAAAAAGGGGTCTGATAGCACCTGTAAGGCGCAAAATGTCATTTACCTTTCTTTTTTGAATGCAAGGCACATGCCGTCATGTGTCTTCCTCTTTTTGTCGGTTAATGCCATTAACAGAGTAAAGGGAAGGCACTTGGGCCCCTGCGCCTTTACCATTTTGGTTTCCTCCATAGATTGTTTGCCCTTTTGGAATTTTTGGTCAATTTTGTTGCCCTTTTGGCTCCTGACTCTATATGAACTTACATAACCTGTTCTCATAAAGAAGCACATATTTATCACATAACTGGCAATGAAAGACCTAATATGAACATAAATGGAAAAAATCTGGCAGCTGCCAAATAAGCCTTTTCACAAAAGTAGATATATAATAAGTTGAGGTCAGTGGATCAAGATTCTCAAATGTTAATACTAATCATCCACAAGTAAACAATGCACAAATAGCAGAAGGATATCAGCAAACTTATGACTCAATCAAGATGCCATCAGATAAATAAGATGACTCCATCAAAGAAGAGACAGAGGTCTCAGTCTCTATTTTACCTGATTCAAAGTTTGGTCTCTCTCATCATTGAAACTCCTGCCACGCTTTCCTCCGACAGCATCAAGTTCATCAATGAAAATGATTGAAGGAGCATTCTTTCTTGCTACACTGAAAAGGTCTCTAATACGAGCAGCTCCTCTTCCAACAAACATTTCAACAAATTCACTAGCAGAAACAGAAAAAAAGGGTACTCCAGCTTCTCCTGCCACAGCACGAGCTAGTAAGGTTTTTCCTGTCCCTGGTGGACCTACAAGCAGTACACCTCTTGGTAACTTTGCCCCTAGCTTACTGAAGTTTATAGCTCCTCGCAGGCACAACACTATCTAGAAACAAGAAAAGGGATTGTCAGTCCAATATGGAATAAAAATGGCACTA